TAGCTTGTACTTCAAAAATGCAAGATGGCACATACTACAACTGAACACTGGTGTAGAAAGGCATAGCTTTCTCCTCCAATAATGAAGGCCTGCGGAACCTACCACTTGACTCCGATCCATATGCTTCCATAAATGGTTTGAAGGCTTATCTTGGGATGAGACAAATGCAAAAGAGTTGTAAATATTGACAAAGGTAATGCACACAGGTTTGCAGATTGAGCAGTTCTCCTCACCTTTATGCAACGCCAACTGTTTCAAATTTTCTATGCTTATTCGACAACTTGTAATTGTAGTCAGATTAGTAATCACGTGACTATAAGCCACACCCATTGATATGGCTGGGGTGCTACCGTTCTTCCAAAGGTCTCTTAGTTATTGCCGAGTCTTACCCGTAGTCTCTGCTGCATGGCCATGGCTGAAGGTGGTGGTGGGACTAGTGTTGCTAGTAGAAAGACTGTTCTTGTCTTTTTGGGAGAACGGAAAAGAGGTGTCATTTTTTTCTGGAGATAAAGGCAATGATGCGGAAAGTATATTAGACGAGACGTTAAAAACTTATGGTGATGTACTGACCCCAAGTTCTACTGAAAATCCTTGTATTACTTTGCCACTCAAAAGGGATGAATGGGATGGGGAATTTGTTGGCATATTGGATCTGAAATTGGTTCCAGATAAGTCAGTCTCGAGACTGAGCTCAACAAATAACAACCTTAAGAGAGAAGGTAACTCAGTGATGTTATAAATAAATCACATTATTTTCCTTTTATTGCACCCAGCTGCACATGCAGGTGAAAACAATTATAAGTATACTTTTATACTGTTAAGCTTGTTTATAGTAGCCACCAAATTTATACATTTAATTGTTAAACTGTAATACATTCAGTGCTGAATTTATAAATATAGCATCCTCATTTTTATAGTCATACACTGCAACTTCTAGAGCCTTGTCATCATTGAAGAAAATGGCAAACCCTACTGGTGCGTGTGCACAAGAATTGGCTAAATTATTTCCTGCTACAAAGCCAGCTAAGTACCCACCAGCTTAAGCATTACATTTTGACCCACTGGAAACATGTATTATGGCTGGAGAAAAAGCCAAGAGGAAGGCTACTCGTGTTAAGTCCATACAAGTTGTGGTGAATCAGGATACTGTGTATGTATTTACTATTTATTATTAATTATTATTTTGACATTCTATGGACTGTTACGTTGTCATTGTTTTCTGTAAACCACGCATGCGCAATTATACAATGCACTGAACACAATATTCCGTCTATTATTCACTTTTTCTGTTTTCTCTCGTTCTCTCTGTTTCATCCTTTTTGATCTTGTTATTAATTGGAGAATACATATTTTGTTGATGAAAGCTAGTAGCGTTGCCTACATTGGTGACCAGGATGTTTTCTCCCGATTAATTTATATCTTGACGAGTGTTTTGACAGTAGTCATGGCTCACTCAGAGGGACACAGCCCTCCACCATCTCCTGTCCCCATTATCCCACCGTCAGCTATGGCGGAGGTGTCTACTGCATTATCTACTCCAGCTACCCTGCCAACGGCATTGACAGCATCCATATCCACAGTGACAGTTAAACTGCCACTCTTCTGGCAAAACGACCCTCAGATGTGGTTCGCCCAGGTTGAAGCACAATTCGCCACTAGATGCATAACATCACAGAAGAGTTGTTATGACCATGTTGTTTCTTCATTGTCACCGGAATACGCCACAGAGATTAGAAATCTCATTTTTGACCCCTCTAGCAGCAACCCGTATGATACGTTAAAAGCTAAGTTGATTCAGAGAATAGCACCATTTGAACGGCGCTTGCAACAACTGTTAAGTATTGATGAACTGGGTGACCGAAAACTTTCACAATTACTGAGACGTCTACACCAGTTGCTTGGTGATAACACTTCCTCTACTGGCCAATCTTTTCTAAGAGAGCTTTTTCTACGGCACCTCATTGCCAACAACAGACTAGTACTTGCCTGTAATACCACAGTTGACTTGAATATTTTGGCCACTCAAGCTGACTCAACGTCGGAGATTACTACACATCCAGTATCAGTCGTTGATCACACACAACAATCATCTGAGATTAAACAATTGCGAGCGGAAATTGTCAATCTACGTCAACAGTTCCAACCCTCTGCATCTCCTAGGAGACCTCGCAGTCTACCTCCTCGGAAACAGCATTCTCCCAGCCCATTTGCCTAATCATATTGTTGGTACCATTCACGATTTGGAAACAGAGCTATTAAGTGTCTGAAACCCTGCTCATGGAAGTCGGAAAACCAGCAGGCCTGTCATTGTTGGCGACTGACGTACCCGGCCAACCAATTCCTAGTCGCCTTTTCTTTGCATGAGATAGAGTTACTCACCGTTCCTTTTTCATTGACCCAGGAGCAGTCATGAGTGTACTCCCTCCAACCAAATTGGACAAGCTATGCCGTCAAGTGGCAGTAGATCTTCAAGCTGCCGATGGGTCCCTCATTCCTACATATGGACAACGCTCACTTATACTGAATCTTGGTCTGTGTCGCACTCTTTGTTGGATTTTTACAATTGCTGATGTGAAGCATCCGATTATTGCAGCAGATTTTTTAGAACATCATGGTCTCATTGTTGATATGCAACGCAGACTCCTTATTGTTTCTCAAACTGATATCAAAGCTAATATATCATGCACACACCAGAATGCATACGGGCTTACAACAATTAATCCTCTAATTCTTTCTAAAAACTCTAACTTCTCTCCTTCTAGATTTTCCAGACTTCACTTGCTCATTTGTGGACACGCCGATTCGTCATGATGTCATACATCACATTTAGACAGCTGGTATTCCAGTTGCTTCTTGCACTCGAAGATTGTCCCCGAATGCCTCAAACTCGCTTGGGTGGAGTTCGAATACATTTTAGAACTTGGAATTATACGTCCTTCATCCAGTAGTTGGTCGTCAGCACTACACATGGTACCCAAAAAAATTAGAGACTGGTGACCTTGTGGGGATTACCGTAAACTCAACCGCATCACTCTACCTGATAGGTATCCCATACCCCACATTTAAGATATTTGTCCTCCCTCGAGGGTGCATCCGTTTTTTGACCTTGTGAGAGCTTATCACCAAATACTAGTAGCTCCACAAGACTGCAATCACCACTCCTTTTGGACTGTTTGAATTCACCCGCCATGCCATTTGGGCTAAGGAATGCCGCACAAACCTTCCAAAGGTTTATTGACAGGGTGTTACATGGTCTACATTTCGAGTACTCCTACATCGACGATGTTCTCATAGCGAGTAAGTCGGGAGGAACACAAGCGTCTTCTTCGGTTAGTTTTTGAACGGCTTACAGAATATGGAATAATTTTAAATCCCACTTAATGTAGTTTTGGACAACCCTCTCTTCAGTTCTTAGGACACACTATTGATCATAATGGTATACGCCCACTAAATACTGAAGTCTCAGCAGTGTAAGATTTTCCATTACCTAAATCTCAGCAGCATATACATAAGTTCCTGAGTATGATCAATTTCTATCATCGTTTTATTCCTTGTTGTGTTAAACTCCTACACCCTCTACACTCCTTACAGTGTCATTCAGTAACCAACAAGGAACTTGTATGGTCAGATGTTGGTAGGACAGCATTCACATAGGCAAAGGAAGCATTAGCTCATGCCGCTTCTCTGTATCACCCTAAAGACAACACCTTCACAGCTATTATGACTGATGCTTCCGATTTGGCAACTGGAGCTGTTCTGCAGCAGAGGGTTGAGAGTCAATGGCTGACCATCTCCTATTTTTCACAGAAACTCTCTCTATCAGAATGAAAGTATGGTACGTTTGACCATGAACTTCTGGCCATCTATCGGGCCATCAAACATTTCGGATATTTTGTTGCAGGGCGTATCTTTACTGTTTATACGGACAAGAAGCTGTTGACCTTTTCTCTTTACACCATGTCCAACAGGTATACACCAAGTCAAATTCGACATTTAGATATTATTTCCCAATTCACTAGTGACATCCAACATATCAGAGGTAGCAGCAATCCAGTAGCAGATGCACTGTCTAGAATAGAATTTAATTTATTAGAGTCTACTCCCATTGTTATAGATCTGGAACTATTAGCAAGATTACAAGATGACTGTAAGTTCCTCTCTCAGGAGCACTCTATTCCCTCTCTTACACTCCAAACTCTGTCCTTACCTGTTTCTAACCACACTATTGTATGTGATACTTCTACTGGTGTGCCACGACCAGTGGTCCTGCCCTCTTTACAAACTTCGGTATTTTTCTTTCTCCACTCACTCTCTCATCCAGGCATTAGGGCAACACAAAAGCTCATCTCCAGATTCGTTTGGCCACATATGCATAGAGACATCTAGTTATGGACTTGTTCCTGTGTTCCATGCCAACGATCCAAAATATCTTGCCATAACATTACTCCCCTTTCAACGTTCCCCAATCCAGATGCTCGTTTTGATAGTATTCACCTTGATATTGTGGGACCACTTCCTCCTTCAAATAGTTACACATACCTCCTCACCTGCATTGATAAATTTACACAGTGGCTGGAGGCGTTTCCTGTAGTTGATATCACTGCTCCTTCTGTGGCTCGCACTCTGGGTGGATCTCGCGATTTGGATGTCCTTTCCTCATCACTACAGACAGGGGGGCCTAATTTGAAGCACTTTTATGGAAGCAACTTATGCATTTATTCGGTACTACTCGTTCATGTACTACTGTGGATCTCGCGATTTGGATGTCCTTCTCTC